TCAAAGAACGCAATACTCTATATACGCGATATTGTACGCCGGAGTTCGATAGTCTGCAGACAAGAGATTTGCCGTTTTTCATGCATAAATTCGCATACATAGCCTACAAAAGGCGAAATAAATCTCGCACTTGGCCGATCAGAAAATTTCTCGATTTTGTTTACGCGATGGTATGAAGGTAAAGATTTTGATTTTCTTCGTGTCAGTTGACTCCATTCGTAAATATCGACACGTTTTTTCATTATAAAGTTGCATTAGAATTATTGTTATATGAGAATTACACGCAGTGAAATAATAAGTTATTTGGTTTATTCATTACATTTTAATATTATTATTATTAATAATTTAAACTTCTTATCTTCCAATCTATTTTATTTAACTATTATAGTTACAATTGTAATAATAATTATATATTTAGCTTATGACGAGCTATATGAGTAAACAAATCTGTATTTTATTTATTTTTTTTTAAACAGCATTATACGTATTAAAACCGTCAATGTGTGATCAATCACAAAATTTTTTGAAATTTCTGACATTCGATTAATATTTTCAGATTCTTCATAAATACATATTATTCAGTTGATTTAATCTATATATTCTTATAGTTCACAACATGTACGAATAACTATATTGAAAGAAAGTGAAGCGAATATAGTTTCTAAATAGACGAGAAAGCTCATAAAACTCATACGCGCATACGTGATTACTTGACGCAGGAGTACGTAATATCGATAGTCGTTCATTCGTTCCCGAGGAACTGAGAGAAATGCCGGGTCGGCCTCATTTCGCGATCAGGTTATTTAAAACGCAAGTTTAGATATACGCGTGAGGTAATACGAGGGTGATGTATCGGACGCGGAAAACTTCACCCTTTTAATATATAATATATAAATATGGCGGAAGGTGGTGGCTCCGTAGCATAAGGCGCGTGTGCATTAACTGTTGAAAACTACGACATGTAAACTTGCTTTCCTCCTGTATAAACCATAAAACAACGGGTTCTGGACCGGTAGACGACTTTGCGCAGCCCTGGCTAACTATTAAAAGTTGCAAATTGCTGCAGACACACTGCGGGCCTCCCGTGTTCGCATACCGGTCGTCTTGGGCACTCGTTTGCGCGCGTTCGTCCTGTCCTAACTTACTTACCAGACTTACTCCGTGCGCGCTTCCTTACTTATATAGTCACTCGCTTACTTACTTATTCCCTCGTATTCCTTATCCTCTGCACTTTTTCGCGCCGCGGTTTACCTCGGGTAACATTATTTGTTCCCGTCATTCCCTTTTCCGGAATAGTTAATCCAACGAGAACCTCGAAGAATAGATTGGACATTGTGTGTGTATCAAAACAACAAGTACGGTTTGTTAGAACCTCGCTTATAATTATCCCCGGACATACTCGTAACTAACAATCATACCAGTTAGTTAGAAATAATTCATATTTATGTTATATACTACATAATAGACACACAATATAATGTCGTTTATTTAACTTCTATACGCGTGCTGATATCCGATATACTATCTGACAGACTATTTGCTACGGTTAGTTTACCGTTTAGTTGTGGCGTCCCAATGCTACGCTTCCAAATATATTTTGTAAAATAGTTTACGATGCGCGGCTGGTTGGTAATCGTACAAAGCATCGCACGTAGGCGTAAATGCTTTATCAAGCGAGACAGAGTATTTTGCCTCTGTTCGCACATTTCTTTATAATTCGGTTTAATTATCATATCGATTTTAGAGATGTGCATTTAGCATCAGCGTGTAAATGCGGGTTTGCAAAATTACAAAAAATATTTGTTTGAAAACATAAATCCCACGAACAGTTAAATCAGATACAAATCATAATTTTAAAGTGATAATTTCGATATGCATATAATTTATAAAGGCTTAATAGCGATTTTTTTTTGTCTCCTGTATTTCGTAATCAAATTTTAATAGCTGCAAACTGTTTATTATATTGAACATCACCGAATCAATTTTATGTATCAAAAAGTACTTTCCAAAATTACTAGTAGAAAATATAAATTCCTCAATATATCGTGTTTCTATATTAAAAGACTTTTAATACGATATTTTGTTGCATTATAATATTTTACAAATTATTTTACTGTTATTTTAATTCAAAAATAAAAAAAATATTATAAATTGTGTTTAACTATGAATATAATTTTGGATACACTTTAATGAATTATCAATTATTTCAATTATTAATGAAAACGTAGTCAAATCAAAATACAAAAATATAATATTTTTAAAGTTCAAATATGTGGTCTTTATATTGAGATAATATCGTCTGTCTAAAATTACTTGCGTCTTAAAACACTTTTCTATCTCAACCTATACGCCGGTTATTTCATAAACTCTCATAATTCAGATGAGTTAAATAGCTGTCCGAGACTGCACAAACGACGCTGAGAGTCGGCTGTGCCAACAGCCAAGAAAATGAAAAGTAACGATTCAATATGAACGTCACGCGGGTTGCGTGTACCAAATTAACACGTACTGATACGACCGGTGTGTCGTCCACCGTTGGTGACACCATTCTTCCATTAATCCTGTCTACATTTTCTGCGTATCGTGCACGTGACTTTTATTATCCCCGCGTGAATTCGGCCGTAACGGTTTACTATTTCCTGCTTATATCATGCTCGTGAAATCTATCACTATTAATTGGCACTATATTATACTACGTAGAAAAATGAAATAGCGGCATTCAAAGCATTTCAAAGTAATTTTAGATTTTATAATTATTTTACATAGACAAAATAATGTAATATACACATGCTTAATATCGTGTATATTTAATAGCAAAAACGAAACTTTAATGTTAAGCAACAACATATTTTTTCAGGATTTTTAAAAAACCTGTATTAAAATAAACGGATTTTTTTTAGAATAGACAAATAATATAGCTACAAATTCGATACATGTTTTTTCACATGGAATTTTCCCGGAGGTCTTATTAATTGTCAATAAACGTTTTACAAGGGAGACATATTGTACAGTGTACACAGTACTGCCCTGAAAGAACAATACTGTTTTGTCAATACAAATCAATGGATATCTATCATTCGTAATGTATTCTCTGTTAGACATTTTGACAATTTCAAATCAATGATGAATGCTACGTGCGTAATAATAATAACTTGGCTGAGTTAGCCGTTAGCGTTTTGCAAATATCTCGTACATCGCGCAAAATTCAATACTTATTCCGCGCAAAACTTATTCCGCGACTCGTTCATGGATCTCGCAACGTTTACGTGTCTTCATTTTTTCCCGGGACGCGATCGGTTCCAACGAAATGAATTTTACTATCTATCGAATATCTGCGACGCCACGAGAGCCGGTATACGACGATGCATAAAGAATCCAGTTTACGGCATCTGTTAGGACTCGACGATACCCGACACGTCCCATTTCCGCCGCCCGACGTCTTTTCCAAAGTGAAACCACTTCCTCGCTACTGGAATCTGCAGATCCGATTTAGAAGTAATGTGTGATCGATTCTTTTAAGTTTGACTAAGACATTTCTGGAGCTTCAAAAATTAATAGGAAATGCAGAAATATAAGTATATAAAACATATTAAATAAGCAAAACTTACATCAAATATTGATACAACAATTAAATTATTTTAAAAATATCAAAAACGATTCTTGACTAAAAAACAAATTTTTAATGTAAATCTGAGCCGAATTGTTACATGTTAATGTATATAATTAATAACGCGTCAACTTTGCCTACATAGTACATATATATACAAAATGTTTTAGAAATAAATAGTCAAACTTTAAGATCATATTCTATTCGTTATAAGAATAAAAAAATCATATAAACATGAAACGTTTCCTTTCCAAGTTATCAACTTTTTATTTACAACAAAAGCATGTCTTGCATCGACGTCTCATAGATTATCCTTATATATTCACCTTCTATTAAAAATAAACAATAATCTCCCGATTTAGATCTCTTAGATAACTTGTGGAGACATCTTCAGTCTCTCGTTTATGACACGCCTGCTATTGTAAAAGTGCTTCTCAAATCGTATTGCCGCTTTGTGTAAAAATATAAAATACTTCGAAAGTTTTTGAATATCCGATAATTCATGAGACGTTGATGCGAGATATGTATTAATACAGAAAGAAATTATTTCCAACAATTTAATAATAAATATTCTTACCAAAGTTTGTCACAAATAAAGTATTTATATAACTTACACAATTCGAAAATTTGTGTTATTTTTTTTTTTTGCTAAAAACAGTACCTGTTAAAATTTTTGTATTAAATTATTAATACATTATTCATGTGTTACTTTAACATATTGCTGTTGTGTTATAATTGAACTTAAATGCTAAATTATTAAAACAATTGAAAAAAAGTATAAAAATAACACAACGTAGATCTATTTTTAATAATTTTACACAATAAATATGTTCTGTTTTATTTTTGGTTTTATTTAGTAATAAAATTTATTTGTTAAAATTTACAGAAAAAAATGATTGATTTTTTTATTTTATAATGTAAGTAGGAATGATAAAATCTAAAATTAACATATTTTTAGTTAATTTTTAAAACTATTTAGTTAACATTAAAACTATGTTAATTTTACAGAAAATTTATTTTGAATTACTTGAAGTTTTGCATTTATTTTATGTTAAAACGTTAACACAGTATTCGTGTCTCCATTTAACAAATCCACATTATTATATTAAATTAACACAAAAATTTCTGTGAACCGTTTGGGATATCTGTTAAATTTAACACAAATTTTTCAACTGTGTAGACAGGAAGCGTTTTCGATTTCTCGAGTCTACATTTATATATATTTTTTTTTTCATTCTAATAATGAATAGAAAATGCTCTTAAAGTTTGACTATTTCTGAAACATTCTATATTTATATATATATATATATTTTTTAAGCTCCAAATATATTGTCTCTCTTTTACATTATCATATTGAATGTTAAACGTATTTTGTTTTTTTTTAATGTTTTAGGAGATGAAAGTTAACTGGGCGACGTCGCCGGGTAACCAACCAAAGCAGGACACGAGCAGTAAGTACACCCACTTTTCAGATTTTCATCTTTACACGGAAAAAAATATTTAGCGTCATACGTTTTACCTTTGATCCTATACTTGCTTGACTTGTTGGATTCGCGCACTAATTAAACAGACTAGAGAATTATTCTACGAGGACATTTTTAAAGCCATTTTTCGTCGCAGAGCAAATTAAAGTTTTTAGTAAATTATATATATATATATATATATATATATATATAATATATATTATACAAAATTATGTATATATATATAATATATATTATACGAAATTATGTATATATGTATATATAATATATATTATACGAAAAATGTTAGGAGTTTTTCATTGGATGAAAACATATCAACTCCCATCAAGTGCTCAAATACAGATTCGATCCAAGCACAAACACATTTCTATATATTAATCTAATATTATTTATAACATTAATAAAATCTAGCAACATTAATAAAGCAGTAATATCTTTATTAGTTTACGAAATTTCTAATAGAAATTTATTACTCCATTATAATCAAATGGAGTATTACAGTTTATTTATTACCATTATATTGTTAGATTAATACAATATATTTTTGTTCTCTCGATTCTATCTATTAATAAACGTCTTTATGCAATACATACATTTATTTTATTTAATCATGACAATTAATTTATTATTTCTATTATGTTTAAAACATATAATTCAGTATTACCCAATTTTAGGAATTAATTAATCGTCAATGCTATAATGACTCGCAATTGTAATCGAATGCTGTAGCATACTCATTGAAATTTAAAAGTACGAATATTAATAATGTTATAATAGCTACAATATATTTACAAAAATGTTTTCAAATGCTTAATTTCTTAATTTTATTCTCTACTGTCACTTCAATTTTAATTTTTAGATCAAACATGAATTTATATATCAATCTTGCAAGAAGATATTTATTTTACATATTAAATATTTTATACGTGCTTTTATAAAACCTTTATCATATTTTCTCTTTTAATGATTATTTCACAAAGCCCATTATCGTGGAATAAAGATTAAACTAATTTACGCAGACTTGAATAAAATAATTCAATACCAGTGACATTAAATTAATATTTTACTAAAAAAGCATTTATTAAATACATCATTAATAACATTGTTCTACCTTGATTCCATAAATCTACAATTACTCGTATATTTAATCGAATATTTAATATGAACTGATGTTCGAGACTCTTATTAACTAGTAACATTGGCAACAAAACTTTTGCAGAAATTTTAATGCACAATATAAATTCGTAAAATAAAAAAATTTTTAATAAATGCAAATATTTTTAATGCTAGGTTTTTTGTATTATTTATAATAATATTATTATTATTATTATTTTAGTGTACTATGTTTATTTCAAATTTTTGATAATATATTAGAAGAGAGACAGAGAGAGAAAACAAGTTTCATAAGATTTATAGATATAACTGTATAGATAAAATACAAATATGTGTTGTTTTGGGTAGAGTACCTAAATTCATATATACCTATGTATACGGCAGTGCTAGTTTCGCGGATTGTCACGATCCGACAAGCCATTATAGCTTTTGTATTCGATACAACGTGTTAGAAATAGATTTTCTAGCATCTCGTGGCACTGAATAGTTTTCAGCGTCAATAAAACATGTTGCAGTTTTCTTATCGTTGAGAAGAGAGAAATCGTTGGAACATTACTTACTGAAATGCACAGCGAATATGATTCAATCGGCAAACAATGCTCAGAATTGATTATCCGTCGTGATAATGAATATCTGCAATTTGGGCTACTCTAACAGATACTCTGGAGCGAGAAACAGATATTAGATTTTTACAATATAGCAGAATAAACGCGGTGTAAAAATATGTAACAAATGTTGTGTTACATAAAATTCTTGCGAACGTATAGTTGCGAGAGATCTTGTTAAAAATTTCATCGTGGATTTTGAAGTGCACAGTTATAATTTTGCTTAATTTATTATTTCAGCCTTTGTGTATATGTAGATAAAGCATAGGATATTCAGTGAAATGGGACTTGGTGTAACAGTTCCATGTATTTCTAGAATAACTTGCGCGCGTAAGGCTGTCCAGTACAGCGGTAGTTCGGGATTAGCGTACGTCCCTTGTAATAATCTCTTTTGCTTCCTGTGTCTGTGTACCTCGGGGAATCAGCCATAAACCACGAAACCCGTCATAACTACTTTCTTCCAACAATCTCTATATGCTTGCGCGCATAGAAAGGTTGATGCATATGAATACGGATTACAATGCAAGCTGTATGAATTAAGGTTTTTTTTTTTTTTTTTTTTTTTTTTAGTTTCTCCTCTTTTTTATATACAAAAACGTCCTTACGTCCCCGAAATAACACGAGAACACGCTTAGAAATTTTGACGTACAACTTATTGTCAATTATAATAGTGTGCGAATAATATGAATGACAAAATAAAATCCACCCACGTTACGTGACCAAATCCCTCGGCATCGACGTTCATGCCCGCGAAACGGGCGGCTTGAAATAATTTAACAGGCACGCATGACGGCCAAATAAATATCTCAGGAAGATTCCCCGTGCCCCATTCCCCGCGCTCGTTACACGTGTGAAAAGGTGCGCGGTCGCGTTTCCGTGCGCGCCCTATTATATATGTAACGGCGCGGCGGCGGCGTGTGCTTGTACGCGTGTGCGTGCTTGAAATTCAGTGAGAGCGGCAGCAATATTTAACTCAGTCTGAAATTCCTCTTTTTATGGACTTGTAAAACCGTGACAGGCACATGGGACCCGATCCCGCCGTCTCACCCCACCTCGTCCCTGTCGTTTTGCCCTCATACCCTTGTTACTCTACCTGCATCCCCTTACTCTCGAACCCGACTCACACCCGCTGACGCGGTTAGATGGCAGTATCTCGTATCTCTTTCCCTTGTATCGTCCTCTTTCCTATCGCCGGTCGACGGTTCGCCACCGCGCGTGTATCTCTCTACAATCACCTTCTTCGTTTCCCTTTTTCCTTCGGCGTAGCCATCCACCCACCCACGCGTACCTCTACTCTCTCTCTCTCTTCAAGTACTATATTCTCCACGGCGACAAATGCAAAACTAAAACGTATCTCTTCTATGCCCTCTGTAAATATGCTGGTATAACTGTACAGAGTGGCCAGACCTTTTTCCTTCCGTCTCTCTCTCTCTCTCTAGTCACCCGTGTCTACTTTCGCCATCTTCTTCACGATCATACATATACAGCATTCAACGAATGGATACGAGGGTGTCGTGCAACTGGGACGACGGGTTGTTTTACTTTTCCGCGAGAGATTGCTAGTAAACTCCGATGCACCTGCGCACATCCGGTTGTGACTCTTACGTAGGAATATGCTCGTCCAGAAGAACGCGATGGAATAGGAAAGGAATCCTAACGTGTGTCAAATGCCTGCCTGTTTTGTTCCTTGTGCTCTCAAGTTGTTGTCTTTTGTTCAAATTTCTTTCTTTCCCCGAATTGAAAAATGTCATCGTAATATTTAAAAATTCGCTACTACGTTGCGCGTCACACGATGACAGCTATATGTTGGCAATTTCTGTTCATTTGTTTGACACGTAGCAATTTATTTCAAAATGTTATATAGGTTGATATTTAATAATGTAAAATAATTTAAAGAATTTTCGATTTAAAAAACTTTAGACCAAACAGTATCGTTTATATTATCTTTTCGTTTAAGAATTCGTTTTAGATATTTTCAGAAAGGTATATTTTATTTCTTAAACGTGATATTTATATCGTTAATAATTTTATTATTAAACAAGAGTAACTTAATATAAAGCATAAATCTTGTCAAATGAAAATGTTGATAAACTGATCACGTTTTATAACTTCGACGCTGAATAAAATTCCAAATAATATTTTACGGTCAAGAGCCAAAGATAGTAGCCTTTGTTCCGAATTCAAACGATATAGAGATATAACGTTTGCGAAGTAACTGTATACGATATTACAAATTGTATTAATTTTAAGTTAGTACCAGCTGGTCGACTGTGACTATAAGACCGGTCGTTTATGCGAGTGTCGTAACGTAATACGCAGTCGTGGGATATCTAACGCGAGGTATATTCCGCAAAGATGAAAATATAGCGGCCGAAGATGGCCTGTTATGAAAGCACAAACGACGATAGTGCAAGCGGCGAATTGCGGTAAAATATTTTGGACTTTCATGTCACGCAATATATTTACCGTAGAACGCAGTCGTGCTCGTATAAGTAAGTAAAGCTTCATAATTTTTACTTAAAACAAATAACAGTTTTATCTGCGACGTTAAAGCAGAAGATCTTTATACTTTTAAGGAAAAATTATAAACTCTATTTTCTTATGAAAGTGTACGCAATTTCGCGTAAATTTTACAATTTATACAAATGTAACATATTACATGTAAATATATACATGTAAATACACATGTAAATACATGTACTCGAAAGAGCATTCGAAATTCATTAAAATTAGCAATGCTCGAAACTTAAAGCGACAGCATTTGCATAATTACAGTTTGTATAATTGCCATTTCAATTATCTCAATCTCTATGCAGATTTGCTTATAATCTCTTAGTGATAGTAACCCCGATATTATAGATCAATTTCACGTCGAACCCCTTTAATAGCGACATGCAATCTCCGGCGCCCACATCGTTCCAGCTACAAATAGATACCGATCCGTCGTTAGGTATAAAAGGAGGAAGTTTGGAAAAAAAGAAGACAGTTCTCCAGTTCTCTCCACTTTTCCGCTTTGGTTGTTAACAGAAAGGGTACTTGAGGAAGAGGCAGAAAGAAAGAGACAGCAGCTGGAAAGCACAGGAAAAGGATAAACTGAGAAAGAGGATTGTAATGTCGTGGCGAAAAGCTCCGAATTGGGTTTGGCTGGTTGACTGCGTAATCGCTCATCGTTTTTCCTGCATTATGAATCGCGCCAAGGGATAATCGTGCCAGTATTTACGAGGCTTTTCGACACAAAGGGGTTACACCCCCAGTTCTACGCTTCCGTATTCCGTTTATCCGCGGCGAGAAACGTTTATCGT